TTTTCTGTACCTCGTGCATCTCTCTCATTCATTAAATTTAGTTGTAAATGATGCTGTCAAAGTAACAATTAATTTTTCAACATTATACAAGAATTGTACACGTTTTTTTCTACATCCGCTTAAAGATGGGATATACGAAATCGTAATATCACTGGTTTAACATTGAAATCCGTGAGTAATATAAAATCGGAGAGCGGAATAAATATATCAAATATTTTAATGAATTTTTTTAACTCCTGTCAACTATACAGAACTATCATAAAAACTTACCAGTAAATTCTTATGGGTTGGGTTAAGTTATAAATCTACTCGTTATTCACGTAATCGGCCAAATATCTAACGGGCGGGCGGCTAACAGCCCAGAACCGGTCCCGGATAGAATTGGAAGCGTTATATGTGTAGCATCGACCCAAGGTCGTAGGCTTCCACCGGCTAAACCGGGTGAGGTTTGTACTCTGTAAAGCGCGTGCGAAAATCTGGCTTTTTTGAATCTGACAATAGAGAGATTCCACTCCGCCATTAATATTCGAATATACAATAGCAATCTTTTTTTTCACGTATAGTATAGAAATTTGTAATAAGATACATAGTGCGATTATAATTGTGCGATTATTTTCATATAATTAAAATTTATATGTATTTATTTTTAATAAAATACAAGGGAAGCGGCGCTTCCACCGCTTCTAATGACGGCACGCCACTGTTACATATCATCAGTGAATGGCAATTACAATAATTTTGATGATACAGTATATGTTTTTTATATTTTATTCTGTTTCTCAGAATACAATATAAAAAACAATTCTTCAAAATTATTCAAAAGTTTTATATAATGATAGTTAACACAATTTTCAACATAAATATTTATCTAAAACATAAATGCAAGAAAAGATTAAAGTATTTTTATTGTTCTAAAATAGTTCAGTTTAGTTTTTGTTACTGGTATTATTTTTAAAATACTTTCAAAGAAAATCAAAAAACTTAATGCATAAGAAAAATATAAAAATGTAACTTCTTAATACAAAAAAGTTTGTAGTAATTTTTCTAATCAGAATATAACTGTTGTATAGAAAACTTTATATAATTTATCTGAACACAGAATAAGTAAAACTTTGATTTGTTAAAGTATATGTAACTTGTTTGCTACATTAAGATATATAAGTTTTATCTTAAAAATATCCAATAAACTGGACATTTGGTAGGGCAAAAGATAGAATACTTCTGACAGGTATAAAACATTCTTAAGTAATGATATATTCTAATCAAAATGTTCAATATTTAATACATTTATGAAAGTTTATAACATAATGGTTGAATACTTGTTTATATTTCTCTTTTGTATGAATGTCTGCCAATTACTTGTCATATGCAGTAAATAATCACTGTTACTATAATATACAATGGTTTGTGTGACTGCAGGGTTGGTACCTCTGATGCCACTGTGTCTCAATGGACACAGAAATCGTGATGACCATTAGTTATTAGGTTCACATGCAAATGGTCACTCTTGTAGGCGGTTGGTTTGGGATGAAGAAGGATGGGGAGACAACCAGAAGTGTAATCAATTATAAAATTAACATTAAACAATACCCGTTTATTTACATAAGCATTTTACATTTCTGTACACAAGTTATAAAGATTTATATAAGGATCTTAGCTAGATGCTAGTTATATAAGCATTCATTGTGGGCCCTAACTGTGAGAGAGTTCACAATAGTCTCTGAGTAGATAAATACCTTAGTTAAATCGAGGAGGGTGATTCTCAGAGGATCGATGAACTTCTGGTCCGCAGATTTGTTTGTTCAGGATCTTTCAACGAGTCGAATTGGAGTGTTGATGTAAAGTTGAGAAAGTTTCTGGGAGTCTTGGGTTGATGGCGACAGCATAAGTGGTATCCAAAGATCGGGCGAGAACATGATTCAACAGATGGCAAATTATCGATGACGACGAATGGCGATCGTCATCGATTCCCTTCTTTTTATTAGAGGGTCCTTCCAGTTTCTTCTCGAGCCATTATTTGGAAATATTATAAGTCGGGGCCAATGGTTGAATTTTGATCATTAAGAAGATGTATCACCTTTGACAAGAAGTGAATCCGGAGAGATACAATCATATCTTTAATAATTAATAATCGTCAGAAAAATTATAGCAAGTTTTAATAAATTTCAACAAAAATTTTGTTCAAAACTTTATCGTCAAGTCCAGACTCTCACATCACCCTGGCCTTTCCAAAATCATGCAAGAGAGCAAGTTCAATTTTCACTAGTTGCAGTAAATGTGACCTTTTACAATGAAACATGAAAGATTTTTTTTCTCTCTCTTTTAATGCGTTGTGTGTAACATTAACAAAATGCCATCATCAACATTTACAAAAAAATCGTTCTACTTCCGACACCAATAGTATTATTATATTAGTATTATAGTATTATTGTAGCAATTGTGAGATTTTTCTTTTCTTTTTCCCATCACCTGGCCTTTCAATTGCCCTCTGACCGAGAGATAAAAATGACCAAATAACCGTACAAATCAACAATCTTTAAGGATGTTTTGAATAAGTTTCAAGAATAAATCCAAACAAATGGTTATTAATGTGGAAAACGTCAAAATCGATTAATTAAATTATGGGGTAAGAAGAGTCAACACCTCGGTGATGATTCTAGGAACCTCGAATTTGTTGGCCTTATATGGTAAAAAAGAGAACACCTTGCAAAAGTATCAACAACCCAGCGGAATCGTAAAATTATTACTGCCCGCATCAGTCGGACCAGTGACATATCTCGACCTTAGACCACATTAAATCAAAATCACCTGATTCTATTCCCATGCTCAGGGAGAATAAAAAGGGCTCGCACCTGGCCATCGGGGCGATCGTCCAAAGAATCGTCCCCTTGCCCGTTGCCATCCAGAATCCCAAAGGAAAGACACTACGTTAAACGAGGTTTTATGCTTGACCATTTTATTGTAAACTCTCTCTCAGTCTTTACTTTGTAAGTAGATAGTCACGCGGAAAGCTGGGTCCTTATCGACCCGTTTAACCGAACAACCGTTAAGTTTCAAATTCTGATTGTATTTTCTTGTAATCCTTTGTTTTTATATTAAACTTGTTATCTAAATATTTGTTTTATATCGTGTATTGCCGACACCTTATCGACGACCTCACTAACCCTCCCACTCGCATCCAGCATCGGAAGAATGTAAGAGTGCCATCCATTGACACGGTGAGCATATCTCACTGATCTGACGCCAATCGAAGGGGAGAAGCCTCGTGCCTCCACCCCGGTTTCTCACACAATCAACGACTTTCGACAATTTTATATCATAACGCAATACAATTACTATTCATTCAACTTTATTCCGACAATACATATTTTTTTTCCATCGTTTCGTACAACAATTAAATTTCACGATTTGCTCTCTCTCATTCATTTCCATGAATGAGATAAATCACCCAAATCCTTAAATGGTAATAATGAAGATCATGATCGACATGCGTGGTGGGGAGATCAATGATAAAGATAACTTGAGATCACGTAGAGATAGACATAAAGTCAACAATTAAAACGAATCGATGAAATTGTCGATTAATATGAAATAATCCATAGAAAGTTTTTTTTTTCTCTTCTATCGTTAGCAGCGAAAGTTCGCAATCTAGCATGCATCATACTATCTATCAAAAATTTCGATTCTCCCCCTTTTCGATAGGTTCATTGCCCTTGTGTGATAGCCGTTTCGCTCGTATGGGATGTTGTGACATCCCAGACGAGGTTCGAATCACGTAGATTGCGGAATTTTCGACGTTTAAAATATGACTAAATGTTACGCAAGAGAGCGAGAGAAAACGATGCAATTACTCGTATTTAAACAATGGGCTCCGGGACGACTCTTACATGTGTTAAACGATCTATCAATGTCGAATCGAGAGATGGAACTCTGATACAAACGCTCTAGGTAGATTAATCCCTTTAAAAAAATAATGGCAACTAATAATGCAATAATGTAAATTTACATTTTGCGAATAAGTTTATTTTTTAATTATTATTTTTTTTGCTTATATTATTTATCAGAGTCATTTTAATATTTTTGTACATGATTATTTGTTTAATTTGTTAAATCTATATTAATATTTACATAAATATAGTATGTATTAATTCAAAAACAATTAGGTCAAAGAAAAATGTTATTTCAAACTTTGAATCTGCTGTAGACGTTCAATATAGAATCTGCTTCTTCTTCTTTCCTTCTCTGATATGGAGATTCTGCTTAAGCATACTCAGGCAACTGAATGTAGCCTAAAACGTTTGTTTTTTAAACAGTGAATGCTAGAAATTGAGGAGGAGGTGTAAATTTTTGTGTTTATAAGATAGTGTATTTTTTTCAATTAACAACAATAATCATGTGGGAAATTCATTATGAAATTATAAAGCTGGAACTATGATTTTCTGATTGACCCTCAGTTGACCCCTTGAGTTCTATCGACCCTTTTCAAAATTTCATTGACCCCCTGGGATATATATTGATCCCATTGGAATTCCCTGCTTTAGGCTCTTTTACATGATTGAAAGTAAACTCAATAAAACTTCAAAATGTTAAAATTTTGTCTGATTTTTCAATATTAAATGTATTATGGCTCTAAGACTACTGCTTGATGTTACTACTTATTATACTGAAAATATATACATGGGAGAAAGAAGCTTATTTTATTGAAATGCATTCTACAATAAAATATATACGTGGGAAAGAAAAAATGAGTTTTTGTTCTGATCTATGTGTCTCCTTGTCTCCGTATAAAAAGTCTGATATTAAATGGCAGAGAGCCATAATACATTGATTTATAGCAACTATTAACTTGCTACAAATTTAAAAATAAAAAGTGAAAAGTTTTATTGATGTAATCGATGTATTAAATAATTGTAATAGCAGATGTTTGTATTGTTTAAAAAAATATGTGATAGTGGCCCGCGGGATTCAAAATTGTGAGTTTAGTAGTGTGTGAAGTCAGAAAGGATGGAGACCATTGCTTTATGATACCATTATAGGTTATACCTATAACAGTATCAAAGTGGTATAATCCAAAAATTTATTGGCTGTAATCACAACTGTAATTTTATTTACACCCAGATTTAACATTCTGGTTTAATTCTTAAAAATAGAATAATAATGAAGTCATGATAAATATTAAAACATTTTTGTGTAAATTATATTTTAAAAATTAGGAATAATTTGAATAAGAATATAAATTTGTATTAATAATGATAGTAATTATTAGTTACTAAATTTCATTGGCAAACAATACAAATTACTTAAAATAGGTAAAATGTAAATTCAAAATAAATATATTCAAACTTTTCAGTCTTTATTTCAAATATCTTTATTACATATAATTAGCTTCTATGTCACATTTCACGAAGCATTATCTATCACTGTGCTTCATTTACTTATGCAGTTGCATTGTATAGCATCTCGAAAAACAAAATTAATATGATCTATACTTTAGGTAATTGCAACTCGTTAGGCAATGGCTAGTTGTTAGGACGACTGGCTCCTATCAAATGGCACATAAATGTAAATCACATTCTTTTAATCAGTTCTAATTTGAAAAGAAACCAGCTGGTGGTTTTTTGGTTAGCAAGTCTTTCATATCCAAAGGAAACAATCCCAAAAATTTAAAGTTTTGGCCCATTTCTGGTCCAATTAGCATCTCATAACTACTATTAATTTCTTTTTGTTGTTCTGGTGTACAGGACTGGAGTAATTTCTGCAAATAAACAAGAACTTATATTTTAATTACTATAATATGAACTTATTATTTACATTTATAAAAATATTAGTTCTTGCTAAGTAAATATATGAATTTATTATGTGTTGAAAATATGTATGTATGTCATATTGCATGTATGTGTAAGATAACCAAACTAAAATTTTTTCATTTTTTGTTACAGATATGATTACATTTCTGAAATGTTTGAAAACATTATTTTCTAAATGTACAGATTTTAAATGATAATTATTTAATGTTATAATAGTTATGGTTAACTTTCTATTCAACTTTGTGAGATTCCGAGCATGATTAATTAGTTAAATTAAGGGATTAAAAATTAGTACACAGTTAATTATGAAGTGGAAAAAACCCACTTTGTTTTCTCACTACCTGGCCTTTCCGGTGCTCTCTGACTGATAGATAAAGACGATCAAATAACTGTACAAATTGGCAATTTTTAACAATGTTTTGAATAAGTGTTAAGAATAATTCCAAACATATAATTATTAATGGAAAAAAAATCAAAATTGGTTAAATTATGAGGTAAGAAGAGTCACAACACCTCGTTGATGACATCAAGGAACTTCGAATTTGTTGTCTTATATGGTTAAAAGTGTCAGAATGCCTCGGTCGTACCAGGGACAGATCGTGAACTTAACCACAACAATGTCAATCACTAGTCATCAGAGTAAAGATCACACACTCAGGAGGATAAAAAGGGCTCAAACTTGAGCGTCAAGGCAAACTTCACCATAGCAGCAAGTGGCCCAAGACTCCCGTCCAGCCATTTTCCATGTCAACTCGTTTCTCAGAACATTTCTCCTCAGAAACCATAGCCAGATGCCTAAAGTGGGGACATTGGTCCAATAGAGGTATTTTACTTAGAGAATTGTAAACTCTCTCTCTCAGTCTATTAGCATATAAGTACTTAACTGTATATTGTAATCTGCTTATTTTTATATTAAATGTGTTATTTTGTTAACCTGACAACCTGTTGGAAAAATGGACACCCTGTCAACTTATCTGCAACTCTGCCACTCGATCCAACCCTCTGCTCCAAACTAAGAGTATAATCACAAGAAAAAAATTCTGTAGAAAAGACTAAAATGTCTTTTCTACAGAATTTTTTTAGTGTGTAAATTCATCAGCTTTTTTTTTTTTTTTAAAGATAATATTCATTATTATAATTTTCCATAAATTCTGAAGCTATTACTTTTAAAATGTCTTAGAAATTGATTAAAAAAAAATATATATATGTATTCATATTCTTAGTGAATATAATAATGTGATATAATAAAGTGAATATGCTAAATATCTTCTATTTTAGATTTTGTAAAGCTAATATAAGAATATTTGCTAAGAATTAATAAACCTCCAGCCATCATCAAAACAAATAATTATTGAAAAATTATAGTACTTAATAACTCACTTTTAATCGTTTCTCAGCTTCCATATTCTTAAGAAATTCTTCCTGAGTTATTGGACCATAGGTCAAAGCTGAAAAAATATTCAGAAAAAACAAAACTATAATATAAATTGTTAAAATATACATTAGCAATATATTTGCTTTCATAAATAAAACAGTTATTAATTATTATCTATCAATAAAATTAAATTTGGAATGACATTAAATTATTTTTATTTTTTAAAATGATTTTTATAAAATTGTTAATATTTTCCAATATAACTTTTGTATAATAATTCTTGAAATGTAATTTGAATTGTTTATAGTCTGCAGTGTAAATTAATGTGCCAGNGGAAAAACAAAAAATATCGTGTATCCACAAACACTCCAATAAATAAATAGAATTGAAACGACACTTTGAAATGTTTTCCCGATGAAAATGAATAATAATAATAAGTTTCAATAAAAATGATAAAATGTAAATTGAATTTTATCATAACGAGTTTGCTTGAATTTCCTTTCTTCTGAGATCGCAGCAATGCGCGACGGGTAAGCTAGTAGTTTATAAGTATGCTTCCTGTTGCTTGTGTACTTTAAAGTAGAGTGTGAGGTATTGAGATGGTTATGAGTATTTGAAGATAACAGATGCTGTGGACCACTAGCACTGATTCAAATTCCAGAAATAATAAAGTTTGAATTCCTCATCAAATTATTTTTTTATCTAAGAAGTAATTTAACATTACTAATTTTTCTTTATTAAAAAGGGAGTTGTTTCTGTTTCATGGTAATGTTTATAGTAACAATTAAGGAGTCTTTGGAAGAGTGAGATTAAAATACTAAGTTATTCTTTTACTTCTTTGATTTAATTCCTTCAGATATTTTTTGCTTTTGTAATTGAAATCAGTGCAATTTAAGGATAAAGAGGATATTAGATTCTATGTGTTAAAGAAATTGGTAGGAAATTTAAATTAATTTTTATAAAATGTTTTCCTTACTACTATGAATGAGAATAGAAATGTGTAGTTTTATATAGTTTTCAAAAAAATGTTTTAAATAATAAGAAAAGCTTTTTTCATTCTTATATATTCTTATATTCTTATTTATATATTCTTTATACAATATATAGTTTCTTTTTTAAACTTATATAGTTCAGCAATTTAATTGTCAAACTTTGTAAATGTAAAGAGCATTCATAGTTTGCTACATTTTTATTAAACAAATGTAGTAAATAGATGAATTACAATTGAATTTGAATTTAATAATTTTTAAAAGATTTTTTCAAAGAATATATTGCAAACAATATTTTTATGCACATTTACACTACAAACAATATGTTTTTGTTTAGTCTTCTTGCACTTTAATCTGTGTTTATGCTTAACATACAAACCTATAATAATGTTTGGAAAAATAGTTTAGCTAAGAGTAAAAAAATTTTTAAAATAAACTTATACTAATAATTAAGTTAGCCTTAGATTATATTTTTAATATATTTCTTATTATCACTAGAGAGAGTTTTTAGATATATGAAAAAGAGAAACTAAATAATAATTAATAAAAGAAATTAAATAAAATTTAAAATTTAATTTATAAAATTGAAATTCACTATTAAAACATTTATTTATTTATTTTCCAAATTTAAATTAAAAATTACATAAAGTTTCTTATAATACAACAATTAAATGAAGTGATCATTCAAATACAGTAAAATTTTAAAAATTATTTCATTGTTTTAATTTTAGATATTGGCAAATGTTCAGCTAAAAGTATATCAACCAATCATTATGAAAACTCAGTTCGAAATATGTCAACGCAACCTCAACAAAAATCCAAAGAAACAAAGTTATTACATCATATGAGATCAAGAATTTCGGCAACAGGACCAATGACAGTTGCTGAATACATGAAAGAAGTGTTGACAAATCCAATGTCTGTAAGCATATTTGCTATTATATTTGAATATTTAATGTTTGGATTGTTGATAATTAATAATTGGTTTAATATGTCTTTTTTTAATATTAGGGTTACTATATGCATAGAGATGTCATTGGGAGTTCTACTGATGCTTCTGTGGCCTCCTTGGATGTTTCTCAACTATATGGTGAAGTAAGTTTAGTATTTGTACAATAAACAATTGTTGTTTATAAAGTAAATAATTTAATTTTTTTTTTAATTAATATAATTTTTAGTTGCTTGCAGAATGGTGCCTTAAAGAATGGAAAAAAATTGGTAAACCACGTCCATTGTATGTAGTAGAAGTAGGACCTGGAAGAGGAACTCTCTCTGATGATATGTTAAAAGTAACAATATTTTTTATAAATTCCAAAATTGTATTAAATTTAAATTTGCTATAATGAATTTTTAAAATGTGATAGGTATTTTCTCAGTCAAATGATGCACGTGAAGTAGTTTCTCTACATTTAGTTGAAGTCAGTCCACATCTTAGTCAATTGCAAGAATTACAACTTTGTGGTACTGTGAGTGTTGTAAAAGATGTTTTAGAAGTAGATGATTCTAGACGCCATTTACATCTTCATGCTAATCGTGATAGTGATGAACTTATGTATAAACATAATATAACTAAACATGGTGTTCCTGTATCTTGGTATCGTCATTTGGAAGATGTTCCAAGAGGTTTTTCATTTTACATTGCTTATGAGTTATTTGATGCCCTGCCTATTCATAAATTTCAGGTATGTTTTAAGTCAATATATTTTTTAATGTAATAATAACAACTCCCTATACAATCTACTTCCTTCTTGTGAATAAAGAATATCTGTTTACAATCATAAGTAAATAGATACCTAGTGATTTTAGATTTGACATAGACTATACAAACTTAAGTTATAAATGTATTTCATTTAAAGACTAAGAATATTGATATAGTATTGAATACAACACAGATTACTCACTCACATACAAGATTAGAGAGTACATTAATCAAATTATAATTGTCTCTTGAAAATCAGTAGTGAGCTAGCACTGATCATTTAAAAAACAATGTCACAATGTTAAAATCATTCAAAAATAATTTAGAAGAAATACAAATAATTATAGATATACCATTGACTATCTACCAAGGTCCAGCATCTTCATAATTCAGATATAATTACAAGTAGAGATTTTGAATTTTCCATAACCTGCCAGACTAGGTCAGTGGGTCACCATTTAATATTTAATTTTAATTTTTAATTTATTTTTAATAGTTGCTTAAATTTCTATCCATTTGTAATGCTTCAGAGATACAAGAGGTGCATAATTAGTGATTTAGAGTATTGCAAAATAAGGAACTCATTTCTTGAAAAGTGGATAACTGTTACCAATTACATTGATTAATTATTTATTTTACTATCTTACAGTTTGTATATTTATGGGAAATAAGCCTGCTTTTATTTATCTTTTTTTACGATAAAAACAGAATGAGACTATTTTCGTCAAATATTATTCTTCACAATTATACAAATTAAATATTCTTCAGATTGCAAATATCTCTCACTCATTTCAGGCTAGAGATATCACTAAATATATCACATTATTGCAATAAGTATGTAATGCTTTTTTCATCATTTATCAAGTGCAGATTGTAACTACTAAAAAGCTATGTAGAAAATATATTTTTATATAAAATTTTTTGTATTCATATTATGTATTTGATGTGAAAGTATTAGTTATGAACATTTAGATAAAAGAATGTATAGTTTGAAATTCATGTTTAAATCATTAACACTAAAATACAGAAAATATGTTATAAATGATTAATATTTGTAGATGATAGATGAGATAAAAACTATTGATATATCACTAGTGAACAATACAGTATAGTATAGTGTGTTACAAAGTTTTCTTCTCTAAATCACAGAGGGGGACATCCAAATTTTGACATCTTGGATTTTGCTGAAATTTTAGTATGTTTTAATACACCCTTTCCACTAATGCACATTAACATATATCATGTCAATTAGAAGTAATTTATGATATACTGTTGTTTAAACTTTTCTATATATGTTATCATATATCAAGTTCTATAAACAGATCGCAATGAGTAGACATGGAGAAATGAGTAAAACATTAAGTTGAAAAGCTTAATGTCATGGGTTCTGCTTTTTTCCAACTTTTTTTATACAATTTTTTTATTTAGTGTTCAATCCAGCAAATTATTAGAATATATATTTGGCCCAAAAATAATTACAAAATAGTATTAAAATCATTTGCATATTTTTTAAACCAAAATGTTGATTCACTCTTCAGCTGTTGGTTTAAAAATAAGTGAATGATTTTATTTATTTATTAATTAAATTAAATTATATTAATAATAAAATACATTTTAAATTAAATTAATTACATATTAAAGCATTCTCTTTAATATGTAATTAATTTAAATTCAAAAAAACCTTTTTTTTAAATTTAGAAAACACCAGAAGGATGGAGAGAGGTTCTTATAGATATTAATGAAGGGCCTGGTGAAAATCATCTTCATTATGTATTATCAAGAGGACCAACTCCAGCTAGCCAGTTCTTTATTGATGTAAGTGCATAATGCAATATATTTTGTTTAATTTCAAATACAGTTCAACACATTATAACTCACACTCACACACTACTGTGCATATACATATATTAAATGCAAATATACATAGTATAAAATAATCTATAATTATTATAATTTTATGTATTGTAATTTCTTTAACTATTCAATTTTTAATATTGTCACAGAATGATATATTTTAAAATGTATTATTAGCTATGTATACAAAAGACTGTATTTAAAGAAACAAATTATATATATAATTTGTTTCTTTAAATACAGTCTTTTGTATTCATAGTTAATAATACATTTTAAAATATATCATTCTGTGACAATATTAAAAATTGAATAGTTAAAGAAATTACAATACATAAAATTATAATAATTATAGATTATTTTATACTATGTATATTTGCATTTAATATATGTATATGCACAGTAGTGTGTGAGTGTGAGTTATAATGTGTTGAACTGTATTTGAAATTAAACAAAATATATTGCATTATGCACTTACATCAATAAAGAACTGGCTAGCTGGAGTTGGTCCTCTTGATAATACATAATGAAGATGATTTTCACCAGGCCCTTCATTAATATCTATAAGAACCTCTCTCCATCCTTCTGGTGTTTTCTAAATTTAAAAAAAAGGTTTTTTTGAATTTAAATTAATTACATATTAAAGAGAATGCTTTAATATGTAATTAATTTAATTTAAAATGTATTTTATTATTAATATAATTTAATTTAATTAATAAATAAATAAAATCATTCACTTATTTTTAAACCAACAGCTGAAGAGTGAATCAACATTTTGGTTTAAAAAATATGCAAATGATTTTAATACTATTTTGTAATTATTTTTGGGCCAAATATATATTCTAATAATTTGCTGGATTGAACACTAAATAAAAAAATTGTATAAAAAAAGTTGGAAAAAAGCAGAACCCATGACATTAAGCTTTTCAACTTAATGTTTTACTCATTTCTCCATGTCTACTCATTGCGATCTGTTTATAGAACTTGATATATGATAACATATATAGAAAAGTTTAAACAACAGTATATCATAAATTACTTCTAATTGACATGATATATGTTAATGTGCATTAGTGGAAAGGGTGTATTAAAACATACTAAAATTTCAGCAAAATCCAAGATGTCAAAATTTGGATGTCCCCCTCTGTGATTTAGAGAAGAAAACTTTGTAACACACTATACTATACTGTATTGTTCACTAGTGATATATCAATAGTTTTTATCTCATCTATCATCTACAAATATTAATCATTTATAACATATTTTCTGTATTTTAGTGTTAATGATTTAAACATGAATTTCAAACTATACATTCTTTTATCTAAATGTTCATAACTAATACTTTCACATCAAATACATAATATGAATACAAAAAATTTTATATAAAAATATATTTTCTACATAGCTTTTTAGTAGTTACAATCTGCACTTGATAAATGATGAAAAAAGCATTACATACTTATTGCAATAATGTGATATATTTAGTGATATCTCTAGCCTGAAATGAGTGAGAGATATTTGCAATCTGAAGAATATTTAATTTGTATAATTGTGAAGAATAATATTTGACGAAAATAGTCTCATTCTGTTTTTATCGTAAAAAAAGATAAATAAAAGCAGGCTTATTTCCCATAAATATACAAACTGTAAGATAGTAAAATAAATAATTAATCAATGTAATTGGTAACAGTTATCCACTTTTCAAGAAATGAGTTCCTTATTTTGCAATACTCTAAATCACTAATTATGCACCTCTTGTATCTCTGAAGCATTACAAATGGATAGAAATTTAAGCAACTATTAAAAATAAATTAAAAATTAAAATTAAATATTAAATGGTGACCCACTGACCTAGTCTGGCAGGTTATGGAAAATTCAAAATCTCTACTTGTAATTATATCTGAATTATGAAGATGCTGGACCTTGGTAAGATAAATAAGATTAGAAATTATTCATCTTAATCTTATAAAATGTACTTCTAAATTTTGTTAAGTTACCCGGAATGTGTCAGTTTTCACTCCATCGTGACCATAATCAATTAAAAGTGAAAATCCTCCATCTTTTTCTAATCTGCTAACCATTTCTTGAACCAAAACACCACTTTCTGGACTAACTTCTACATGATCTCTAGTTTCTGATGGCTAAAAATATATAAATGTGTAAATTGCTAATGAACTGATTCATATATAAGTGAAAATTACATAATACAGTTATAGAACACATGGATATTCTTTTAATCTTATTAGTAGCATCATGTATGTGGTTTGGGAAGATAGCCCAAACAGATGGCCGGGAACACTTGAGAAGAGGAGACATTAAGTTTGGGGTCAAAGCTAAGAGAAGGGTGTGGAGTTTGAGGACAAAGTTGGAGGGAGATGTCAAGTTTGGGCACAAAGTCAGAGAATGTTGTGAAGGGCTGTGATGATGTTTGTTTGTTTATTAATTTATGACAACACGACACTTGGGCGATCTGCCTAGGGGATGCCTTCCAGGAGGTCTTTTTAAGGGTAACTGGCCCCTATTTAGTCATTACAGACATGGAGAAAACCCAGAAAACTCCATGTTGCCAGCCTATCCTGGTGAGGTACGAACCCATGACTGAATTCCCAGTGTTAAGCAGAGAATAAAGTATTTTGTTGGAGTTTTGTCATGTTGGTTAGTAGAAAAACTTCCCACATGTATTTCACCAAAAATTACATACATACATATACATATATATATATATATATATATAATTTTCAATATACATATATATATATGTATATGAAATGATACAAAATGATATATTTTAAAATGTATTATTAGCTATGTATACAAAAGACTGTATTTAAAGAAACAAATTATATATATAATTTGTTTCTTTAAATACAGTCTTTTGTATTCATAGTTAATAATACATTTTAAAATATATCATTCTGTGACAATATTAAAAATTGAATAGTTAAAGAAATTACAATACATAAAATTATAATAATTATAGATTATTTTATACTATGTATATTTGCATTTAATATATGTATATGCACAGTAGTGTGTGAGTGTGAGTTATAATGTGTTGAACTGTATTTGAAATTAAACAAAATATATTGCATTATGCACTTACATCAATAAAGAACTGGCTAGCTGGAGTTGGTCCTCTTGATAATACATAATGAAGATGATTTTCACCAGGCCCTTCATTAATATCTATAAGAACCTCTCTCCATCCTTCTGGTGTTTTCTAAATTTAAAAAAAAGGTTTTTTTGAATTTAAATTAATTACATATTAAAGAGAATGCTTTAATATGTAATTAATTTAATTTAAAATGTATTTTATTATTAATATAATTTAATTTAATTAATAAATAAATAAAATCATTCACTTATTTTTAAACCAACAGCTGAAGAGTGAATCAACATTTTGGTTTAAAAAATATGCAAATGATTTTAATACTATTTTGTAATTATTTTTGGGCCAAATATATATTCTAATAATTTGCTGGATTGAACACTAAATAAAAAAATTGTATAAAAAAAGTTGGAAAAAAGCAGAACCCATGACATTAAGCTTTTCAACTTAATGTTTTACTCATTTCTCCATGTCTACTCATTGCGATCTGTTTATAGAACTTGATATATGATAACATATATAGAAAAGTTTAAACAACAGTATATCATAAATTACTTCTAATTGACATGATATATGTTAATGTGCATTAGTGGAAAGGGTGTATTAAAACATACTAAAATTTCAGCAAAATCCAAGATGTCAAAATTTGGATGTCCCCCTCTGTGATTTAGAGAAGAAAACTTTGTAACACACTATACTATACTGTATTGTTCACTAGTGATATATCAATAGTTTTTATCTCATCTATCATCTACAAATATTAATCATTTATAACATATTTTCTGTATTTTAGTGTTAATGATTTAAACATGAATTTCAAACTATACATTCTTTTATCTAAATGTTCATAACTAATACTTTCACATCAAATACATAATATGAATACAAAAAATTTTATATAAAAATATATTTTCTACATAGCTTTTTAGTAGTTACAATCTGCACTTGATAAATGATGAAAAAAGCATTACATACTTATTGCAATAATGTGATATATTTAGTGATATCTCTAGCCTGAAATGAGTGAGAGATATTTGCAATCTGAAGAATATTTAATTTGTATAATTGTGAAGAATAATATTTGACGAAAATAGTCTCATTCTGTTTTTATCGTAAAAAAAGATAAATAAAAGCAGGCTTATTTCCCATAAATATACAAACTGTAAGATAGTAAAATAAATAATTAATCAATGTAATTGGTAACAGTTATCCACTTTTCAAGAAATGAGTTCCTTATTTTGCAATACTCTAAATCACTAATTATGCACCTCTTGTATCTCTGAAGCATTACAAATGGATAGAAATTTAAGCAACTATTAAAAATAAATTAAAAATTAAAATTAAATATTAAATGGTGACCCACTGACCTAGTCTGGCAGGTTATGGAAAATTCAAAATCTCTACTTGTAATTATATCTGAATTATGAAGATGCTGGACCTTGGTAGATAGTCAATGGTATATCTATAATTATTTGTATTTCTTCTAAATTATTTTTGAATGATTTTAACATTGTGACATTGTTTTTTAAATGATCAGTGCTAGCTCACTACTGATTTTCAAGAGACAATTATAATTTGATTAATGTACTCTCTAATCTTGTATGTGAGTGAGTAATCTGTGTTGTATTCAATACTATATCAATATTCTTAGTCTTTAAATGAAATACATTTATAACTTAAGTTTGTATAGTCTATGTCAAATCTAAAATCACTAGGTATCTATTTACTTATGATTGTAAACAGATATTCTTTATTCACAAGAAGGAAGTAGATTGTATAGGGAGTTGTTATTATTACATTAAAAAATATATTGACTTAAAACATACCTGAAATTTATGAATAGGCAGGGCATCAAATAACTCATAAGCAATGTAAAATGAAAAACCTCTTGGAACATCTTCCAAATGACGATACCAAGATACAGGAACACCATGTTTAGTTATATTATGTTTATACATAAGTTCATCACTATCACGATTAGCATGAAGATGTAAATGGCGTCTAGAATCATCTACTTCTAAAACATCTTTTACAACACTCACAGTACCACAAAGTTGTAATTCTTGCAATTGACTAAGATGTGGACTGACTTCAACTAAATGTAGAGAAACTACTTCACGTGCATCATTTGACTGAGAAAATACCTATCACATTTTAAAAATTCATTATAGCAAATTTAAATTTAATACAATTTTGGAATTTATAAAAAATATTGTTACTTTTAACATATCATCAGAGAGAGTTCCTCTTCCAGGTCCTACTTCTACTACATACAATGGACGTGGTTTACCAATTTTTTTCCATTCTTTAAGGCACCATTCTGCAAGCAACTAAAAATTATATTAATTAAAAAAAAAATTAAATTATTTACTTTATAAACAACAATTGTTTATTGTACAAATACTAAACTTACTTCACCATATAGTTGAGAAACATCCAAGGAGGCCACAGAAGCATCAGTAGAACTCCCAATGACATCTCTATGCATATAGTAACCCTAATATTAAAAAAAGACATATTAAACCAATTATTAATTATCAACAATCCAAACATTAAATATTCAAATATAATAGCAAATATGCTTACAGACATTGGATTTGTCAACACTTCTTTCATGTATTCAGCAACTGTCATTGGTCCTGTTGCCGAAATTCTTGATCTCATATGATGTAATAACTTTGTTTCTTTGGATTTTTGTTGAGGTTGCGTTGACATATTTCGAACTGAGTTTTCATAATGATTGGTTGATATACTTTTAGCTGAACATTTGCCAATATCTAAAATTAAAACAATGAAATAATTTTTAAAATTTTACTGTATTTGAATGATCACTTCATTTAATTGTTGTATTATAAGAAACTTTATGTAATTTTTAATTTAAATTTGGAAAATAAATAAATAAATGTTTTAATAGTGAATTTCAATTTTATAAATTAAATTTTAAATTTTATTTAATTTCTTTTATTAATTATTATTTAGTTTCTCTTTTTCATATATCTAAAAACTCTCTCTAGTGATAATAAGAAATATATTAAAAATATAATCTAAGGCTAACTTAATTATTAGTATAAGTTTATTTTAAAAATTTTTTTACTCTTAGCTAAACTATTTTTCCAAACATTATTATAGGTTTGTATGTTAAGCATAAACACAGATTAAAGTGCAAGAAGACTAAACAAAAACATATTGTTTGTAGTGTAAATGTGCATAAAAATATTGTTTGCAATATATTCTTTGAAAAAATCTTTTAAAAATTATTAAATTCAAATTCAATTGTAATTCATCTATTTACTACATTTGTTTAATAAAAATGTAGCAAACTATGAATGCTCTTTACATTTACAAAGTTTGACAATTAAATTGCTGAACTATATAAGTTTAAAAAAGAAACTATATATTNATTGTTAATATTTTCCAATATAACTTTTGTATAATAATTCTTGAAATGTAATTTGAATTGTTTATAGTCTGCAGTGTAAATTAATGTGCCAGTATTTCATAAATGTTGTCTAACAATTTTTTTTATTTATTTAAAAATTCAACACCAAGGATATATCACATAGGGCCAAAATTTGCTAGTTAATTATATAAAATTTATTAATTAGAACATGGGAGAACATGTGAATGATTACAAGTGCAGCACACATGCAAATCACATATGACAATATGATCCCAGAAATAATGTAAAATATCACAAAAAGCTGGTATAAAGCACTGGAATTGTGTTTGCTTGCCATTCTTGCTTATAGAAAGGATATATGGTTTCTTGACTTGATTTGACTTGATATAACTTGATTTCAGACTAAGAGAATTGTGGATATAATGAGAAGGCAGATTATCCTTCTGCAAGATCAAAGCTCATGTTGGATGGAATGCAGCAACAGTGATGAGAATACAGCATCAGTGTGTAGAGGAGGAATGAACTCATCCACATGAGGCATCTCAATAGCCTTGACATACTAACAAACAAGATAGACATGTCATGTTCTTGACTCTAAGTGATTGTACAGCCAATTCAAACACCTTTGCTCAACAGTTAGAGCATTTTGAACTTCAATTAGAGGCTGCACATAGACATTGTCTGCAGCTTTAGGATATTCTTTCTAGATACCCACTGCCTTGACTCTACAACACAGGCATTTACGAGTGCAATGGTACTAGGAAAGCTGCACATGAATAAGCAAATGGAATTACATTATCTTTTCAGACAAAGCTCACTTCAGTATGCAGCATCACATAGGAAACTCTGTGTCTAATGGTACCATAGCAACAGGCTCAATGAAGCACGAATAATGCAGTACCTTAACATATCCCATACCATAACACCAGTTCCTGGTGTTATGGTATGGGATGCCATTGGAATTCACTTCTGCTCTTATCTCTATGCATTACCTGTACTTTGACCACCAGCATTACATCAATGTAATACTGGAGCCTATGATAATACTTTGACTTCAGGTTCTTTAACGCAATTTACAAACAACAATGTGTAACCAGGCATGGCATACAATATCCAAGAACTCCTGGATAGCCAACATGTTTCAGTTCTTTCTTAGACTTGTGCATCAACCAGATTTGTCCCCCACAGAATATATCTAGTCAATGATCTAACTACTACTAGCACACCAGTCACTACCAGCTGCTACTAAGGAACTTTGGCAATGAATTGAAACTGTATGGATTGACATTCTCCAAACACACATTCAATGTCTCATCTCATTTCCAGAAGTAGTAGTAGTAGTAGTAGTAGTAGTAGTAGTAGTAGTAGTAGTAGTAGTTATTGCTGCCCATGATAGCTATACAAGATACTGAATAATTCACACTCTAAAACTATAAGTTGATTAGATTCCTGATCATTTCATCTGTGTAATATTATATAGTCTATACTTTTGGCTTTGATATCTAGTCCTTCTTTGTGGTGCATTTTTTTATGGCTAGTAGTGTATATTAATGAAATAAATATGTCAGAGAAATCTGTAAAGAAATGTAATATAAAATTGTAAGTTATGTACAATTTTTATCCCATTATTTTTAAATGTCATCCTGAAAATATATATCTATAACAAATTTTGTGATAAAATAAAGAACTACCATATTCCCTCAAATCTAAGTTGCTCCATGAATTAAAATAAAAACCTTAAAATTGAAATTCAATAAATGGAAAAATTTTTAAATAATTAATCTTGTAGAGTAACAAGTTTTATAACTTGTAACTTAAGCAATATAAATATTGGGTTGAACCAAAAGTTTGTTCAGGTATTTACATAATCACTCGTCTGTGGCATCTCTGTTGTGCTTATCAAGTTTTAACTTGTTTAGGTTGACATTACGAATATCTGCATATTTGTTACGTAAGTTTAATTACAGTTATTTATTAAAATTTTGTTAACTTTTAAGAAAAAAAAAACATTAAAATGGAAGATAAGAAGGTACATTTTCGACATCTGATGCTCTATTATTTCCAAAAAGGAAAAAATGCAACAAAAACTCAAAAAAAGATATGTGCTGTATATAGGGAGGATACAGTTACTGATCGAACATGCCAGAAATGGTTTTCAAAATTCAGGGAGGGAGATTTTTCTCTCAAAGATGCACCTCAGTCAGGACGACCTTCAACCATAGAAGATGAATCCGTAATGGCTTTAATTCAAAATGATCGGCATAAAACAACATGCAAGATAGCCGACATCTTAAAAATATCCCAAACATCTGTTGTCAGACATTTGGCTAGCCTTGGATACACTTCCCGTTATGATGTTTAGGTTCCCCATAAGTTAAGTGAACAAAACCTTATTGAGCATGTTTCTGTATGTGATTCACTTTTAAAACACAATGAAGATGATCCCTTTTTAAAGCGATTAATAACAGGTGATGAAAAATGGATCGTTTACAACAATATTCAACGGAAGAGATCTTGGAGTAAGCCAGGTGATCCTCCAGTGCCACAACCTAAAGTTGGTTTGCATCCCAGAAAAGTAATGATTTCAGTTTGGTGGGACTGGAAAGGAGTTCTTTATTACAAGCTTTTACCAACAACCAAACAATTAATTCCAATAAATATTGTCTCCAACTGGATGAACTAAAGGCTGCAGTGCATCAAAAACGTCCAGAACTTGCAAATCGACGGGGAGTGGTATTCCATCATGATAATGCAAGACCGCACATATCTTTAAACGTGTGCCAAAAACTTCTAGAATTTAACTGGGATGTTTTGAGTCACCCTGCATATTCTCCAGATATTGCTCCCTCAGACTATCATCTTTTTCGTTCATTGCAGAATAATTTAAATGGCATAGAATTTCAATCTCTAGAAGGTATCAAAAATCACATTGATAATTTCTTCAATCAGAAACCCACCCAATTCTACACAGACGGAATTATGAAACTACCCGTCAGGTGGTGTAAGGTTATTGAACAGAAGGGTGAATACATTTTGGATTAAACGTTTTTATTTATTTCAAAATAGTATATTTTATTTCTTTCTAAAAACCGAATGAACTTTTGGTTCAACCCAATATAAATATATTGCAATATAGCAAGGTCAATAGCAATATTAATCAATTTGATCAGTTTTGAAAATTGACATCTTTTAACTTTTCATGATAAAATGGGAAAAATGTTCAAGACTTACGTATAACAGACTTTATAAAATTAGGTCAATATACAGAAGTTATGTTATAATTTAATCAGTGAAACTGAAATGAAATTAACACAAGGAAAAAGTAGACAAAATAACTTTAGTTTCCACAACTTATTCTGATTTTTAACCTCTACACCAGTTAAATTGTTCAGAATTTGTAAAATATTGTCTTAGATGTAATTTTGACACAAATTTCTTAATATAGATATATTGTCCTGGACAATATTCTATATTAAGAAATTTTTATTTTGCTTTTATATCTACACCTGATATGCATTTTGATTATTATTTTATATTCAGTTTTAAAAACAACTTTTGCAGTGCTTTTAGTAGAATAATGAAGAAATATAAAATAAAACAATCTCTATCAAAATAAATTTTTATTAAGAAATTTATTTCTTGATGATAATCTTTTTTCTATAAAACTAAATTTTTTCCATATAACCAATCTCAATTTACAACTTTGTAATTTAAATTTTTCCCAAACCTTAACTGTGAAAAAGTCAAGAGCAAGAGATTGATTGATCCCAAAATAATCATAATTAGAATGGCCATTGTTAAAAATTCAACACCATCAATTTAATTTAATACATTTTCCCTTTTCTAAAATTTATAATTAATGATGTTGCAATTATCCATTATCCTTCATACTTGCATATAAACAAAAGATAATTGTAATACCTTGTATTTATCATATTAAATTGTAGTTATAATTTAAATTTATATACAGTAGAGCGTCGATTTTCCGAAAGTTAATCATCCGAAACGTCAATCATCTGAAAGAATTCCAGTCGGAAAATTTAAATTTTTGTCAGTGCTGTGGTGCTTCAATCTTTGGCTATGTCTTGGGCTACTCAAANATATGAGATCAAGAATTTCGGCAACAGGACCAATGACAGTTGCTGAATACATGAAAGAAGTGTTGACAAATCCAATGTCTGTAAGCATATTTGCTATTATATTTGAATATTTAATGTTTGGATTGTTGATAATTAATAATTGGTTTAATATGTCTTTTTTTAATATTAGGGTTACTATATGCATAGAGATGTCATTGGGAGTTCTACTGATGCTTCTGTGGCCTCCTTGGATGTTTCTCAACTATATGGTGAAGTAAGTTTAGTATTTGTACAATAAACAATTGTTGTTTATAAAGTAAATAATTTAATTTTTTTTTTAATTAATATAATTTTTAGTTGCTTGCAGAATGGTGCCTTAAAGAATGGAAAAAAATTGGTAAACCACGTCCATTGTATGTAGTAGAAGTAGGACCTGGAAGAGGAACTCTCTCTGATGATATGTTAAAAGTAACAATATTTTTTATAAATTCCAAAATTGTATTAAATTTAAATTTGCTATAATGAATTTTTAAAATGTGATAGGTATTTTCTCAGTCAAATGATGCACGTGAAGTAGTTTCTCTACATTTAGTTGAAGTCAGTCCACATCTTAGTCAATTGCAAGAATTACAACTTTGTGGTACTGTGAGTGTTGTAAAAGATGTTTTAGAAGTAGATGATTCTAGACGCCATTTACATCTTCATGCTAATCGTGATAGTGATGAACTTATGTATAAACATAATATAACTAAACATGGTGTTCCTGTATCTTGGTATCGTCATTTGGAAGATGTTCCAAGAGGTTTTTCATTTTACATTGCTTATGAGTTATTTGATGCCCTGCCTATTCATAAATTTCAGGTATGTTTTAAGTCAATATATTTTTTAATGTAATAATAACAACTCCCTATACAATCTACTTCCTTCTTGTGAATAAAGAATATCTGTTTACAATCATAAGTAAATAGATACCTAGTGATTTTAGATTTGACATAGACTATACAAACTTAAGTTATAAATGTATTTCATTTAAAGACTAAGAATATTGATATAGTATTGAATACAACACAGATTACTCACTCACATACAAGATTAGAGAGTACATTAATCAAATTATAATTGTCTCTTGAAAATCAGTAGTGAGCTAGCACTGATCATTTAAAAAACAATGTCACAATGTTAAAATCATTCAAAAATAATTTAGAAGAAATACAAATAATTATAGATATACCATTGACTATCTACCAAGGTCCAGCATCTTCATAATTCAGATATAATTACAAGTAGAGATTTTGAATTTTCCATAACCTGCCAGACTAGGTCAGTGGGTCACCATTTAATATTTAATTTTAATTTTTAATTTATTTTTAATAGTTGCTTAAATTTCTATCCATTTGTAATGCTTCAGAGATACAAGAGGTGCATAATTAGTGATTTAGAGTATTGCAAAATAAGGAACTCATTTCTTGAAAAGTGGATAACTGTTACCAATTACATTGATTAATTATTTATTTTACTATCTTACAGTTTGTATATTTATGGGAAATAAGCCTGCTTTTATTTATCTTTTTTTACGATAAAAACAGAATGAGACTATTTTCGTCAAATATTATTCTTCACAATTATACAAATTAAATATTCTTCAGATTGCAAATATCTCTCACTCATTTCAGGCTAGAGATATCACTAAATATATCACATTATTGCAATAAGTATGTAATGCTTTTTTCATCATTTATCAAGTGCAGATTGTAACTACTAAAAAGCTATGTAGAAAATATATTTTTATATAAAATTTTTTGTATTCATATTATGTATTTGATGTGAAAGTATTAGTTATGAACATTTAGATAAAAGAATGTATAGTTTGAAATTCATGTTTAAATCATTAACACTAAAATACAGAAAATATGTTATAAATGATTAATATTTGTAGATGATAGATGAGATAAAAACTATTGATATATCACTAGTGAACAATACAGTATAGTATAGTGTGTTACAAAGTTTTCTTCTCTAAATCACAGAGGGGGACATCCAAATTTTGACATCTTGGATTTTGCTGAAATTTTAGTATGTTTTAATACACCCTTTCCACTAATGCACATTAACATATATCATGTCAATTAGAAGTAATTTATGATATACTGTTGTTTAAACTTTTCTATATATGTTATCATATATCAAGTTCTATAAACAGATCGCAATGAGTAGACATGGAGAAATGAGTAAAACATTAAGTTGAAAAGCTTAATGTCATGGGTTCTGCTTTTTTCCAACTTTTTTTATACAATTTTTTTATTTAGTGTTCAATCCAGCAAATTATTAGAATATATATTTGGCCCAAAAATAATTACAAAATAGTATTAAAATCATTTGCATATTTTTTAAACCAAAATGTTGATTCACTCTTCAGCTGTTGGTTTAAAAATAAGTGAATGATTTTATTTATTTATTAATTAAATTAAATTATATTAATAATAAAATACATTTTAAATTAAATTAATTACATATTAAAGCATTCTCTTTAATATGTAATTAATTTAAATTCAAAAAAACCTTTTTTTTAAATTTAGAAAACACCAGAAGGATGGAGAGAGGTTCTTATAGATATTAATGAAGGGCCTGGTGAAAATCATCTTCATTATGTATTATCAAGAGGACCAACTCCAGCTAGCCAGTTCTTTATTGATGTAAGTGCATAATGCAATATATTTTGTTTAATTTCAAATACAGTTCAACACATTATAACTCACACTCACACACTACTGTGCATATACATATATTAAATGCAAATATACATAGTATAAAATAATCTATAATTATTATAATTTTATGTATTGTAATTTCTTTAACTATTCAATTTTTAATATTGTCACAGAATGATATATTTTAAAATGTATTATTAGCTATGTATACAAAAGACTGTATTTAAAGAAACAAATTATATATATAATTTGTTTCTTTAAATACAGTCTTTTGTATTCATAGTTAATAATACATTTTAAAATATATCATTCTGTGACAATATTAAAAATTGAATAGTTAAAGAAATTACAATACATAAAATTATAATAATTATAGATTATTTTATACTATGTATATTTGCATTTAATATATGTATATGCACAGTAGTGTGTGAGTGTGAGTTATAATGTGTTGAACTGTATTTGAAATTAAACAAAATATATTGCATTATGCACTTACATCAATAAAGAACTGGCTAGCTGGAGTTGGTCCTCTTGATAATACATAATGAAGATGATTTTCACCAGGCCCTTCATTAATATCTATAAGAACCTCTCTCCATCCTTCTGGTGTTTTCTAAATTTAAAAAAAAGGTTTTTTTGAATTTAAATTAATTACATATTAAAGAGAATGCTTTAATATGTAATTAATTTAATTTAAAATGTATTTTATTATTAATATAATTTAATTTAATTAATAAATAAATAAAATCATTCACTTATTTTTAAACCAACAGCTGAAGAGTGAATCAACATTTTGGTTTAAAAAATATGCAAATGATTTTAATACTATTTTGTAATTATTTTTGGGCCAAATATATATTCTAATAATTTGCTGGATTGAACACTAAATAAAAAAATTGTATAAAAAAAGTTGGAAAAAAGCAGAACCCATGACATTAAGCTTTTCAACTTAATGTTTTACTCATTTCTCCATGTCTACTCATTGCGATCTGTTTATAGAACTTGATATATGATAACATATATAGAAAAGTTTAAACAACAGTATATCATAAATTACTTCTAATTGACATGATATATGTTAATGTGCATTAGTGGAAAGGGTGTATTAAAACATACTAAAATTTCAGCAAAATCCAAGATGTCAAAATTTGGATGTCCCCCTCTGTGATTTAGAGAAGAAAACTTTGTAACACACTATACTATACTGTATTGTTCACTAGTGATATATCAATAGTTTTTATCTCATCTATCATCTACAAATATTAATCATTTATAACATATTTTCTGTATTTTAGTGTTAATGATTTAAACATGAATTTCAAACTATACATTCTTTTATCTAAATGTTCATAACTAATACTTTCACATCAAATACATAATATGAATACAAAAAATTTTATATAAAAATATATTTTCTACATAGCTTTTTAGTAGTTACAATCTGCACTTGATAAATGATGAAAAAAGCATTACATACTTATTGCAATAATGTGATATATTTAGTGATATCTCTAGCCTGAAATGAGTGAGAGATATTTGCAATCTGAAGAATATTTAATTTGTATAATTGTGAAGAATAATATTTGACGAAAATAGTCTCATTCTGTTTTTATCGTAAAAAAAGATAAATAAAAGCAGGCTTATTTCCCATAAATATACAAACTGTAAGATAGTAAAATAAATAATTAATCAATGTAATTGGTAACAGTTATCCACTTTTCAAGAAATGAGTTCCTTATTTTGCAATACTCTAAATCACTAATTATGCACCTCTTGTATCTCTGAAGCATTACAAATGGATAGAAATTTAAGCAACTATTAAAAATAAATTAAAAATTAAAATTAAATATTAAATGGTGACCCACTGACCTAGTCTGGCAGGTTATGGAAAATTCAAAATCTCTACTTGTAATTATATCTGAATTATGAAGATGCTGGACCTTGGTAGATAGTCAATGGTATATCTATAATTATTTGTATTTCTTCTAAATTATTTTTGAATGATTTTAACATTGTGACATTGTTTTTTAAATGATCAGTGCTAGCTCACTACTGATTTTCAAGAGACAATTATAATTTGATTAATGTACTCTCTAATCTTGTATGTGAGTGAGTAATCTGTGTTGTATTCAATACTATATCAATATTCTTAGTCTTTAAATGAAATACATTTATAACTTAAGTTTGTATAGTCTATGTCAAATCTAAAATCACTAGGTATCTATTTACTTATGATTGTAAACAGATATTCTTTATTCACAAGAAGGAAGTAGATTGTATAGGGAGTTGTTATTATTACATTAAAAAATATATTGACTTAAAACATACCTGAAATTTATGAATAGGCAGGGCATCAAATAACTCATAAGCAATGTAAAATGAAAAACCTCTTGGAACATCTTCCAAATGACGATACCAAGATACAGGAACACCATGTTTAGTTATATTATGTTTATACATAAGTTCATCACTATCACGATTAGCATGAAGATGTAAATGGCGTCTAGAATCATCTACTTCTAAAACATCTTTTACAACACTCACAGTACCACAAAGTTGTAATTCTTGCAATTGACTAAGATGTGGACTGACTTCAACTAAATGTAGAGAAACTACTTCACGTGCATCATTTGACTGAGAAAATACCTATCACATTTTAAAAATTCATTATAGCAAATTTAAATTTAATACAATTTTGGAATTTATAAAAAATATTGTTACTTTTAACATATCATCAGAGAGAGTTCCTCTTCCAGGTCCTACTTCTACTACATACAATGGACGTGGTTTACCAATTTTTTTCCATTCTTTAAGGCACCATTCTGCAAGCAACTAAAAATTATATTAATTAAAAAAAAAATTAAATTATTTACTTTATAAACAACAATTGTTTATTGTACAAATACTAAACTTACTTCACCATATAGTTGAGAAACATCCAAGGAGGCCACAGAAGCATCAGTAGAACTCCCAATGACATCTCTATGCATATAGTAACCCTAATATTAAAAAAAGACATATTAAACCAATTATTAATTATCAACAATCCAAACATTAAATATTCAAATATAATAGCAAATATGCTTACAGACATTGGATTTGTCAACACTTCTTTCATGTATTCAGCAACTGTCATTGGTCCTGTTGCCGAAATTCTTGATCTCATATGATGTAATAACTTTGTTTCTTTGGATTTTTGTTGAGGTTGCGTTGACATATTTCGAACTGAGTTTTCATAATGATTGGTTGATATACTTTTAGCTGAACATTTGCCAATATCTAAAATTAAAACAATGAAATAATTTTTAAAATTTTACTGTATTTGAATGATCACTTCATTTAATTGTTGTATTATAAGAAACTTTATGTAATTTTTAATTTAAATTTGGAAAATAAATAAATAAATGTTTTAATAGTGAATTTCAATTTTATAAATTAAATTTTAAATTTTATTTAATTTCTTTTATTAATTATTATTTAGTTTCTCTTTTTCATATATCTAAAAACTCTCTCTAGTGATAATAAGAAATATATTAAAAATATAATCTAAGGCTAACTTAATTATTAGTATAAGTTTATTTTAAAAATTTTTTTACTCTTAGCTAAACTATTTTTCCAAACATTATTATAGGTTTGTATGTTAAGCATAAACACAGATTAAAGTGCAAGAAGACTAAACAAAAACATATTGTTTGTAGTGTAAATGTGCATAAAAATATTGTTTGCAATATATTCTTTGAAAAAATCTTTTAAAAATTATTAAATTCAAATTCAATTGTAATTCATCTATTTACTACATTTGTTTAATAAAAATGTAGCAAACTATGAATGCTCTTTACATTTACAAAGTTTGACAATTAAATTGCTGAACTATATAAGTTTAAAAAAGAAACTATATATTGTATAAAGAATATATAAATAAGAATATAAGAATATATAAGAATGAAAAAAGCTTTTCTTATTATTTAAAACATTTTTTTGAAAACTATATAAAACTACACATTTCTATTCTCATTCATAGTAGTAAGGAAAACATTTTATAAAAATTAATTTAAATTTCCTACCAATTTCTTTAACACATAGAATCTAATATCCTCTTTATCCTTAAATTGCACTGATTTCAATTACAAAAGCAAAAAATATCTGAAGGAATTAAATCAAAGAAGTAAAAGAATAACTTAGTATTTTAATCTCACTCTTCCAAAGACTCCTTAATTGTTACTATAAACATTACCATGAAACAGAAACAACTCCCTTTTTAATAAAGAAAAATTAGTAATGTTAAATTACTTCTTAGATAAAAAAATAATTTGATGAGGAATTCAAACTTTATTATTTCTGGAATTTGAATCAGTGCTAGTGGTCCACAGCATCTGTTATCTTCAAATACTCATAACCATCTCAATACCTCACACTCTACTTTAAAGTACACAAGCAACAGGAAGCATACTTATAAACTACTAGCTTACCCGTCGCGCATTGCTGCGATCTCAGAAGAAAGGAAATTCAAGCAAACTCGTTATGATAAAATTCAATTTACATTTTATCATTTTTATTGAAACTTATTATTATTATTCATTTTCATCGGGAAAACATTTCAAAGTGTCGTTTCAATTCTATTTATTTATTGGAGTGTTTGTGGATACACGATATTTTTTGTTTTTC